GAGGTCATCAGCCCAGGCTTCACAGGGCCTGACAGACCTCGGAATGACTGTTCCTTGAGCCCCAAATAACTACCAAGAAACAGCCCCCCCCCCCCCAGGGTCCCTTACAGGGTCTTTATTATGTCTGAACTGCTCTGCACAGCCTGCTCCTCTCTCCTCTCTCCTCTCTCCTCTCTCCTCTCTCCTCTCTCCTCTCTCCTCTCTCTCTCTCTCTCTCTCTCTCTCTCTCTCTCCTCTCTCCTCTCTCTCTCTCCTCTCTCCAGGTCTGCTAATAACGCTCGCCTGCAGCCAGTCTGGTGCTCTCTGGATCATTATATTTCAACCCTCATGTTTCCCAGCTGGCTCTGCAGCCATCCGTTAAACATGTATTTAAAAACCTTAAGAACTGAAGCGTGGTGATATGCCGTCCAACGCTTACGAAGATGACCCATAACAGTTCGATTAGGAGAATCTGTCACTGGAACGCACGCTGGGGTAGGGGTGGGCAGCAGGGACAGCTCGGGTACAGCCTCTGAGAGTCGCTCCTTCGGGCCGCCGCCTGCAGAGGGGAGGGGGGTTGTTTATGCTGAGGGGGGGGGGGGCTGGGAGTCGCCTAGCGGCGTGTGAAAGGGTTAGTCCTGCAGGGTTGCTTTAAAGCAAGCACCGCGGGCGCGCCCTTGGGTTGACAGCAGTGAGGTTAGTCGGGCTGCTCGCACTGGTCCCAGAACCGGGGTTGTTTCTAATATCGCTTCCCAACTGGCTAGGGCGGCCACGGCCAGGGAGCATTAATAACGAGTGTTCTAATAACGGGTGGCGGGGAGAGGCGTGAGGGGGTGAGCTGTCAGCGTCCTGAGATTCTAGAGCCCGGGGAACTCAGGGTCCAGGGGCAAAACGGGCTTCTCGCCAGGTTGCCGCGCGATCGCCCATCAGGATGCTCGGGTCCCCAGACCCGCGCCACCGAGTGGAGTGGCGGCGTCCGTGGCGCGTCTGGGGCTGTACAGCTGCACCTCGCCGTCCGCACCCCCGCGTTCAGGGCCTCTGGCTGGCAGCTCTGGCTCCCACGTCTTGACAGCCTCCCTTTGCCAGACAGCTACTTGGGAAGGAAGTGGCGGGGCGGGGTGGGGGGGGCAGTTTGAGGCTCCCCCTGCTTCCAAGACAACTGGACGGTGGACTCATCCCGCCCTGTCTCCGAGGTTTCTGTTTCTATTTTGTCCCCTGAGTTTAATTTCTCAGAAATTCGGAAAACTCGAAAGCTGGAATCTAGCCGCCGGAGCGTGGCATCGCCGGTGCAGGACTGTGCTCGGCGCCCCACGAGGCCGCCTTTGCTCCTCAGTCCCGCCCGCGCGCGGCTGGGCCGCAGCCTCTTCCCGCGGAGGGCAGCACTCTCCCGTGCGGCCCAATCAGACCCGACTCTAGCGGGTTCCTGGCTGGCCCCGCGTCCGGACTCTGTCGGCTTCTGCGTCCAAACGGAAGGCAAGTCTTTGCCTTGCTTTGTGTTTCCAGCCCACAAAGGGCCGGGTGCGTGTCGGGGCCGGCCTTTGCTTCGTCGCCTGGTGGTCCGGAGGAACCTCTGCCAGCCAGGCTGGGCGACCTCCCGCGGGGCTCCAGGGAGCGGACCCCCCACTGCTCCTAGGGTACCTCGTTGGCCTTTCTTCCTGTTCTCGCCTTTTCCTCCCCAGAGTTCCTGGGCCCATTCAGGCCGGGTCTCTGCCTGCTGCCAAGGAAAGCCACGGCTTTGCGCCGAGTTTGCCAGCGCTGGCGGTGGGAGGCGAGGCCCGCCGCACAAGGAAGGAAAAGAAAAGAAAAAGGCATTTCAGGCGGACATGGAGTGGCGGCGTTTGGCGCCCCTAATGAGTCAGCTAAGACCCCCTCCGAAGAGAGAACTCAGGAAACGATTGGCATTTTTCTCCTACCCCAGGCTGGGCCACCCACCCGGGTCATCCCGCTGCCCCAGGTCCCAGTGCCAAACACCAGGCTGAACACTTCTGTGAAGGGGCACATGTGGAAATGTGCTAGTGAGCTGGTGTGCACAGCTGGGCCGGTAAAGCCCTTGTAAAAGTGGGCAAAGAGGCGCGTATGTATTTCCTGGCTGGACCTCCTCATAAACCAGGGTGTGGCATCTGGATTGTCGCCCGTGTGTGGTAGTTCAGATGGAACCGGATTAGTGATATCCATCTAGTGATAACCAGGAACACTGAGAGGTGACATAAGCAGTGGCGGTGGTCACTTAGCAGGTCTGGACAGAAGTCATCCTTTAGTCTCTTAGTGACCCTAGGAGAGATGCATTTGTATTTCCATATTTTGCAGATGGGTAAATTGAGCCTCAGAGATTGGTCCAGGAGGGAGTGCGGGGGCTGGGGATAGAGTTCCCTGGTAAAGCAGGGCTGTAGTCATTGCAGGCTTAGAGACCTCTGGTTTTTCCCTCTTGGCCTTGAATTCTCATCCATAAAATGGGTCCTTAGAAGTTCCCTGGGGCCTGTAAAGAGAACTGTGCAGATTGGTGAGGTGTGGGGAAGAGGGATGAATGACAGGCTTCTCTTGTGATTATTCTGCCAATAAGCTGACAACCAGCAAACACAAATGCAAAAGCAGTCAACCCAAACCGCACACCCTCCCTGCTCCCAGGCCCTCTCTCCAGCCAGTGACTGACTGCCCCTCCACCAAGAGTAGTGACATTGACATTCACTGGGCCCCTTTCCCCATAGGCCAACCAAGGAAGCAGTTCTCTACCTGTGGGCCCCAACCCCTTTGGGGGTCGAACAACCCTTTCACAGGGGTCGCCAGATTCATAACAGAAACCCTAACAGGGGTCTCCCACAACCCCTCACTGCCTGGCCGAGTTCTCTGGAGAAGGCGGTTCACTGATCGCAGGAGAAACTTGTACAAGCAGCTAATACAAGCCAATTTCTCCAGGAGGATCGGAGGCGGGAGCGCTCCCTGCTGGTGGTAAGGGCTGCTGAATGAGCTGCAGGAGCTGCGCGCGCCCGGTGGGCCTGGAACTATACCCCTGAGTGAGTGTCCAAAGGCAACCTTCCACGCTCCCCTCTGGGCAACTTTGGAACCGCCGGATTTGCTATCTGGGGGAGAAGATGGTTTACTTAGAGCCCACGCCACTCTGTATATCAAGTGGTGTGTCCCCATCACTAGCAGGATAAACTCAGTCCTCCAGTGCAGCCTGCTGGTTCCCACATGGAATTCTCCAGACCAAAGGTGGGCACTGTGCCCAACTCATGGACCCCATTTTTGACCCAGGTGC